TATCCATTGTCCTAATGTCTCCAGTTGGTCCACCCTAATTGGAATGGATTCTGGAAGATACAGTTTGCAGACTTCTAGCCCCAGTATAACAGAACAGAATATAAAAGGGTTAATTTGGAGCTGAAGGACATTAAATAGGCAAATAATATACTTAGGGGCATTGTTTGACCTAGATTGTTATGTAGGGATCACTTTAAATATGATCCTCAAAAGAGGGACTAACGTGCCATCTAAATGCAAATGGCAAGAATGTCACCTATTACATCGGTGTCACATTCCCTTAGCAATTTCTTTTTTTTTTTAATAAATATATTTATTTTTTGGCTGCATTGTGTCTTCGTTGCTGCGCGCGGGCTTTCTCCAGTTACTGCGAGCAGGGGCTACTCTTCGTTGCGGTGTGCAGATTTCTCACTGAAGCGGCTTCTCTTGTTGTGGAGCATGGGCTCTAGATGCGCGGGCTTCAGTAGTTGTGGCACGTTGGGCTCAGTAGTTGTGGTGCACGGTCTTAGTTGCTCCGCGGCATGTGGGACCTTCCAGGACCAGGGATCGAACCTGTGTTCCTTGCATTGGCAGGAGGGTTCTTAACTATTGCGCCACCAGGGAAGTCCCAGCAACTTATTTTCTTATATCAGTAAAGTTGGAATTTTAAAGACACTAAATATAGGTATAATTGCTTTACATCCATTTCACTGAGGCCCTTTATCTAACCAGCTTTCTAGTAAGACTTCATAAGGGAAGACTCGTATGATATTTATTGGCAACTAATATCTAAATAAATTCTCTGCAAATTACTTTTTCTTTATATTTCCACATAATTCTCTGTACTTCTATACCACTAAGTTTTAGCAGAGCAAGTTAGAAATTTTCAGTATGTGGTAAAGCAACAATAAATTAATAGTCTTGAAATATATCTTACAATTGATGAAATATATCTTACAACTGATGAAATATTATCTAACCCACTCTGATTAGCCAAAATACAGTGACTCAGTCTACTTTTTCATTGTGGTTCCCGTAAATTCGAATGATAGGCTTAAACTGCCTGAGTTTAAGATAGGCTTAAACTCAGCCTTTGAAAATGCACATGGATTCTAATTTCTAGCATATGACATAGCCTTTGAGAAAGCCTTCCAACATTCAGTTTAATTCAGCATATTCATATCAATCCCCTACTAAGGGTATGGCAGTGAACCACAGACTTGGAGAGATGTGAACATGAGTAAAACGAAGTCAGTGCTCAGTGAGCACAAAGTCTAATTTGAGATGGACATAGACAAAATAGCTCTAAAATTGGGCAGAGTGGCAGTGTAGTGGAGATTGTCTCCAGCTGGAAGATCTGGTAGGAAGTTTTGTACAATGTGGCATTAGACGTGGGTCTTAAAGTTGGTTTCACTTTCCTTCCTGAGAGGAGTTGAAGAATGCTTTGCCAATGTCAGCTCAACAGTCTTAATATTTATCGAACATATTATGGTTCCCATTATATTAAAAGCTAAATCTTGTCTTCCCAACTTGAAACAGTGTGTGTGTGTGTGTGTGTGTGTTAGATTAACACATATGTACTCCCCTTTATCAAACTGTCTCTACTTGATCTTAAGATAGCAATGATGGGAACGAAACCACAGAAACCTTGCAGAAAATAAATTTATTTTTTGGCTGTGCCGCACCGCATGCATGATCTTAGTTCCCCAACCAGGGATCAAACCTGTGCCCCCTGCAGTGGAAGCACGGAGTCCTAGCCACTGGACCACCAGGGAATTCCCCAGAAAATCTTTTTTAATTGTTGGCATTTCCATACATAACTCTCCAAAATGCAGATAACTTAATATAATACCACAGTCTGTACTTGCTTCTATTGACTTGCCACACTGTATTCTAATTATATTTCTAATTCTAATTATAATATATTCTAATTAATTCCCTCTGGAATTAATCCCTGAGAACAAGGACTGTATGTTAACTTTGTATCTAGTATGTTACGGGAAACGGTTACTCAATAACTTTCTATTTCTATGACTATTTCCCAAGGGAGAACTTCAAGATATTTCAGTAATCCACAAAATCTTAACTTTTCTGCCACTTATTCTGTAATGTTTTTACTGAGTCTCAGCTTATCACAGCCCTTCTGGTACAGGAAACAGCACCCCTATCTCCATCACTTTGCTGTCCTTTGGTGTCCTTTTCTTCCCCAAGAATCCTTTTACACTCCTTCAAGGGACCAGGGCATTCCTGCTTTCTCCTGTCTGCTCCAAATCAAAAACCTGCTCTCAAGAGCCTCCATTTATGGCAGCATGATACAACAGAGCTAGATGGTGGTTCAGTACCTCACCCTCCTTTTAGCAGAGGAGAGAGGCCCAGAGAGGGTAATCAATTGCTCAGAATTGTACAGTTAGTTATAAGGAGATGGGATTTGGACTTAGACCTCTTAATGGCCAAAAGAGTGCTCTTTCTAACATATAATGTAGCCTTGTATTAATATGCCATTTATAGCCTAAACTAGCACTCCTTTTTCAGATATTTGCCTTCTTTCAAGATCAGAACTTAAGCTAAATTAATAACGTGGAATTTTATGTTCAATAGGATATTGGTGGGGGGGTGTCATAGAGCTCTTTTGAGGTTCCTAAAATTGTATCATACAGCTGCCTACAAAACAGCCTTATGTCACACAGGAAGTAACTCACAGCTTACATTTTATTGAGAGAAACAAAGATAACATCATTGGCATCTGCAATGTGCCAGAAACTGTGTTACAAACTTTACATGTGGGACTTCATTTCATCTTTAAAACAAGTCAATGAGGTAGCTATTATCACCCTATTCATATTTATACATGTATATACTCATAAACTTTTTATAATATAAAAAGTTATATATTTAGAAATAGGGTAGAAAAGTACAGTAGGTATTTCTCATGCTTTGTGACTGTCTTTGAAAACCCTTCCTACATCAGAGTAATCTCCCACATTGTGAATCTGGACTCCCCAAGGCAGAAGCCCAAACTCTCTTGCTTAGCACCTTGGCAGCTAGAGTGCAGGCTCTCCCAGGCAGGCGTACTCACACAAGTCTCAGTCAAAAAAAGAGCAGCATGAGGAAGCAGGTGCTGTGTTGACTCCATTTTTTCTGGCTTGGATGGTGACGAGGAGTCCGGTCTTCAGTGGCAGGAATGGTGGAGCGTCTTGTGTGTAGTGTCCACTCATCTACAGCACCAGTGGCAGCAGCACTGAGGTCTGGCTGAGGCAGTCCCGCACAGTGGTTTTGATATTGTTTCTGGCTGCGTAGGCTCCAGATCTGACTCTCCCAGAGATTCTCCAAACTATTTAATATCCCTTAATAAATCCTTACACTAGCTAGTTTAAGGAACTAGTGGCTTCTGTGGTTGGCAAGTAAGATCCCAGTTCCCAAATCAAAACCACAATGGGATATCACCTCAGTCCCATTAGGATGACTACTATGAAGGAAAGAGGGGGGAGGAAGGGAAGGGAGAGGAAGGGAGGGCAGGGAAGGAAAAAAATGTTGGCAAGGATGTGGGAAAATAGGAACCCTGTGCACTGTTGGTAGGAATGTAAAATGGTATAGTTGCTGTGAAAAACAGTATGGTGGTTCTTCATAATTACCATATGACCCAGCAATCCCGCTTCTGGGTAGGTACCAGAAAGACTGAAAGCAGTGTCCTGAAGAGATATTTGTGCACCTATGTTCGTAGTAGCGTTATTCACAGCAACTGAAATGTGAAAGGTACATACAGTAGTCAAAATCACAGAGAAAGCAGAAGGGTGGTGGCCAGAGGCTGTGGGTGGAAAGAAGGGGAAGTTATTCTTTAATGGGTACAGAGTGTCCATTTGCAAGATGAAGAGGGTTCTGAGATATATGGTGGTGATGGTTGCACAACACTGAAAGCACTTAGTACCACTGAACTGTCCACTTAAAACTGGTTAAGATGGTGTGTTGTGTGAATTTTACTACAATTTTTTTTAAAAGGTTGACAGTACCAAGTGCTTGCCTGGATCTGGAGCAACTGGAACTCTCACATATTTCTGATGGGAATGCCAAATGGTATGGCCATTTTGAAAAAACATATGGCAGTACCTCAGAAACTTAAACATACATTTACCATACAATCCAGCCGTTCCAATTCTCAATATGTACCCAAAAGAAATGAACACATATGCCCACAGAAAAATTTATTCACAAACAGGTGTCAGCGATGGAGGAAATGGCAACATGAAGGATACTTGTAGTGACAGAACTGTTCTGTAGCTTGACTTTGTCAATGTGATATCACCCAGTTGTGATACTGTACTATAGTTTTGCAAAATGTTATCATTGGAGGAAACAGGGGAAAAAAAGTTTATGAGATCTCTACGTGAATCTAGAATTATCTCAAATTAGAAAGGTTAATTTTTTAAAAACTTTTTAAAAAATTATTTATTTTTGGCTGCTTTGGGTCTTCGTTGCTGTGCACGGGCTTTCCCTAGTTGTGGCAAGCGTGGGCTCCTCTTTGTTGCGGTGCACAGGCTTCTCATTGCAGTGGCTTCTCTTGTTGCGGAGCACCGGCTCTAGGCGTGTGGGCTTCAGTAGTTGTGGCACACAGGCTCAGTAGTTGTGGTTCGCACGGGCTCTGGAGCGCAGGCTCAGTAGTTGTGGCACACGGGCTTAGTTGCTCTGCAGCATGTGTGATCTTCCCAGACCAGGCCTCGAACCCGTGTCCCCTGCATTGGCAGGTGGATTTTTAACCACTGAGCCACCAGGGAAGTCCCTAGAAAGGTTAATCCTTTAAAAAAACAAACAAAAAAATCCCAGACCAATACACGAATTTTCCTGGTTTCACACAACCAAAAAAGCATATACCCCAGAGATGAACCCAGGTCTGGTTCGTCCTCCATCACATGCTGTCTCCTTTCTTAGAGATCATCCCATGGGAAGCATGATGTGGTGGGAAGAGTGTGCTCTGCCAGTGGAAAGTGCTGGCTTCCTGAGTAGAAACCCTGGGAGTGTTTCTTAGTTCTCTGAGTGACGAAAAAGATGTTTTTCCTTGATTGATAGGTGTTAAGTGAATCTATAAATGTACATATGTTGTCAGTAAAGTATTAAATACATTTTAGTGTAAATGAAATTCCCACCTGAAAAGAAAACAGTATACAGAGATCATTAGTATCATAACAATAATAACAATTAAAGCTAACATGATTAGAGCACTCATTTATGTTCACAACTTTAAGAGGTAGCTGATTTCTAGGTTGCAGATGGAACAAATGAAGCCTAAGGAAGTTGAGTAACTTGCCTCACAGATGGTTCAGAGCAGAGCTGGATTTGATCCCAGGCAGTCTGGCTCCAGAGTTCATCCTCTTAATGGAAACCTCAGGTGAGATGATATTGTAGAAAAAGAAATATGTTGCTGGTGAAGGATTTCTTATCATTTAGCGGGAATATTGTTTAAATTCGTATTTTTTACAGGGACCTACATGTGGATTCACTTTAGATGCTTCACAATAATATCTCACTACTAATATTTGACAATGAGCCATTCTTATGAAAGCTATTTACAAGAACAGGATTTCCCCATGTGGTGGTACCTATGATCTTCATTTAATCCTTGGCATGCATGCAGCTTAAAGATGACTTTATGAAACTATTTAGATCTTTTGGATCAATGGACGCCTAAAAATTCAATGTGAAATGTATCTAGGGTGGGTGCCAAAAATATTCTTTACTTATTCTTTAAGTAAAGAATATTTTTAAAATGCAAATAATTTCTACTTCCTGCCCTCCTCCTCCACCTTGTCACACACGTGAACATTTGTTTTGATACTGGGTTTTCTTTTTTTTTTTTTTTCGCTGTACACGGGCCTCTCACTGTTGTGGCCTCTCCCGTTGCGGAGCACAGGCTCCGGACGCGCAGGCTCAGCGGCCATGGCTCACGGGCCCAGCCGCTCTGCGGCATGTGGGATCCTCCCGGACCGGGGCACGAACCCGTGTCCCATGCATCGGCAGGAGGACTCTCAACCACTGCGCCACCAGGGAAGCCCCAAGTAAATTGTTCTTTCTTTTTTATTTTTTGCGGTATGCGGGCCTCTCACTGTTGTGGCCTCTCCCGTTGCGGAGCACAGGCTCTGGACGCACAGGCTCAGCGGCCATGGCTCACGGGCCTAGCCACCCCGCGGCATGTGGGATCCTCCCGGACCAGGGCATGAACCCGTGTCCCCTGCATCGTTAGGCGGACTCTCAACCACTGCACCACCAGGCAAGCCCTGATAACTGGGTTTTCTTAAGGCAGATTTACACTTCTTTAACCATGTAATTAGAGCTATTTAATTTAAAGCCACAGTGTGGTACAACAGGTGGAAAGAATACAACTCAGAATTGAGACACAGGTTCTAGCCCTGTTTGTTGCCTAGGACAAATTTTTTTTTTAACGTCTTTATTGGAGTATAATTGCTTTACAATGGTGTGTTAGTTTCTGCTTTATAACAAAGTGAATCAGCTATATGTAAACATATATCCCCATATCCCCTCCCTCTTGCGTCTCCCTCCCACCCTCCCTATCCCACCCCTCTAGGTGGTCACAAAGCACTGAGCAGATCTCCCTGTGCTATGCAGCTGCTTCCCACTAGCTATCTAGTTTACATTTGGTAGTGTATATATGTCCATGCTGACAAAGGATTAATCTACAAAATTTGGTTTTTTGACTCCTAAAAAGTCATTTAGATTTTTGGTAGCTGTTTCCTCAAATGCCAAATGTGCCCTCTCTCCTTCACAGAACCTAGTGAAGTGTTTTGAGAAGCAAAAAGTACAATGTGAATTCCAGCCCTCCAAGGTCTATCTCACTTCCTCCAGGGAAGACACTGGGAGGGGAGGCAAGAGAGCAGGCTGTGCACGATGACACAGTGCTTGGTCTCCGGAAAGTCTCTTCTCAGCCTCCAGAGCCCAGCGTGGTATCTGACCCAGGTCAGCACCTAGCAGAAGTCTGCTTTCCAAACAGCTATTTCTGTGCCATGGCTTTAAGCTGAAGTTCACAAAGTAATTTATGTTCTTTCTTATTTATTGTCTCATAAATTTTTTTTGACATTTACCTTTTCCCTAGAATGTAATGATTCAAAAATCATACAAGCCCAGAAATGTACATAGACTGTCTACAATTAAGTGTGGCTAGCAATCATCTGTCCAGAGTGGCAGAGATGCACACCATGAGATCTGGAGACTTGTCTCCTGAAGAAGGATCACCGTATACATTGTCTCACACACTGGTGGCCCAGGGCCAACCACATAAACCCTCCGGGGTTTCATGTTAATCTTGCTGAGCCCTCACAGTATTTGGGTTCGTTGGCAAAAGTACCGGGTGGTTGTTTTAAAATCTGAAGATACTAAAAAAGTATTGACGTTGTTAAAGATAGACTCAGAAACAAAGAAAGCTTTTAGAAGAAGAGGTGCTTTAAAAGAATGGCTTATCATATATAAAATGCAATGAGTACCTAAAGGGAAAAATACACACAAAATAACTAAGGTTATGGTGATTAGGGATGAAAACACTTTATTCTGTTTTTGGTTGGGTCCACATAGAAAGTCAAGGATGATAGGCTTTTATTTAAATTGACTTTCCAGTATTTACACTGATTCACCTTTACTATCTCCAGATAAGGGAGAAAGTTATTTACACACACCTGGTTTTGTGACGTTTAAGCAGTGGCTGTTCAGGAAGAACCTGTCTGACACTTGGCTTCTCTTTAAGTTGTTCACAAGGTGTTCTTAGTTGTTGTAACTCCATTCGCCACTACAGCATGGGCTTTGGAAACAGGTGGAGTCGGGTTTGAAACCTGCTGTCGGCCTGGGATAGCTGGGTGGTCTTGACTACGGGGACCAACCTCTCAGAGCCTCAGCTTCTTCTTTAGTAAGATGGGGTAGTTAATAATGCCGAGCAGTTAACAAATCCAACCACGTAAGATTGTTATAAAGATTAGAGATATTATAGATATTGAGCCTGAAACGTAAGTACCCCTAAAGGGTAGTTATGAACTCTTTTCTGTATGTGCCCTGGAAACAATTTCTAAATCCACTTAAAGCAGAGAAAGTAAATTCAAGTATTTCCTCAAGCGGCTGTGTAGCGTCATTTTAAGATCACAGTGACTAAGCTCACTTTTCCTTACAGGAAGCATAATTGGGGGTGGCGGAGAAGCCTGAACCATTGCCCTGGTTTCAGCACTCAGATGAGGCCCCAGGATTCTGCCCAACCTCACAGAAGTTTGCTCTTCAGAGTTGGGAACTGCACACAGAGGAATTTGCTGAGCCACTGTGATAAGGAAGCGTAATGACAAGACTTACCTTCCTGGCAACTTAAGAAAAGGAGTGTACTACATTGCGTGTAATACGTACTTTGGGTCAACTCCCAATGTCCTATACATTAACTCAAGAATCCTGACAACCACTTTTACTGTGTTAGGTAGTACTAGCAAACGGGCTAGGAGCAAAGGGTCTGTAGTCAGACTGCCCTCATTCCTGTCCCCACTTCACAACTCGCTAGTTTTGTGTCCTTAGACACGTGACTTATCCATTCTAAAACTCACTTTCCTCATCTGAAACCCAGGATAATATTGATGCCCATCTCCTAGGGTTGTTGTAAGGCTCATACATAAAATATTCTTAGCTTAATGCCTGCCATGAAGTAAGCACTAGTTAAATAATTATTGCTGTTGTTGGTTGGCCAATAGTCCCTATCTTGCACAAAATCAAACACCAGTAAGAAGGTAGAAGTGCTGGTCTTCTGACTCCAAATCCCAGGCTCTTTCTCTTACCATGTGTTACTCTACTGAATGTTTATTGCTTTCTTAAATGATTAAAATACCACAGTGCTGTTTGTGTTATCCAGGGGCACTGAAGTATTCTCTCTAATTATGCAGAGGTGCAAATCAAAGATCGCTCCAAGTAGAAAATCGTAACATTGTTTCACTGTTCTTTGCGCTTGCTTGAGAAAAAGAACCCACGTATCAGACCATTTCTCACCCTCCCAGGAACTCTGCTTCCTGGGAGTTACAATTCTTTGATATCAAAACCAGTTCCAGTCGTGCCAGCTGAAAGGGCTGACTGCATTTTGACAGCGTAGAGGCCATAGCATTCTCTCTGTTTGGGGCCAAGTGGTGACGTCAACTGTTTGTCTCCCTTTCAAAGTTGTTCTCTCGTATTTTGCTCCAACTTCCTCCAAATACGACTGGTACAACTGCAGGTGCCACCAGCTCTCTGGCTCATTGCTTAGTTAGGCTTAAATGACTGTGCGCGTGCTCCCTGCTTCCCTACTGGGCTTGGCACAGCTCCAGGCTGCTTGGGTACTGAAGCCTGTGAAGTCCATGAAGTTGGTTTTCCAGACTAACTTTAACCTGGAATGAACTTCAGACAAGGTAGCTCTGGAGAAATTCATATTGACTTTCCTACCTCATTTACAAATAATTTTTCAAATTGTCAAAGAGAAACATTCACCGACATAGACCATACCCTGGGCCATAAAACAAACCTCAACACGTTTGAAAGAAATTAAATCACACAAAGGGATTTCTCTGAAAGCCATGGAATTAAACTAGAAATTGATAGCAGAAAGATATCTGGAAAATCTGTTTTAAAAAAGTTGGAAATTAAAACAGCACAGTTCAGAATAGCCCATGGTTCAAATAGGAAGTCATGAAGGAAATTATAAAATATTCTGAGCAGAATGAAAATGAAAGTACAACATATCAAGATGTCTGGGATGCATTTAAAGTCGTACTTAGAGGAAATTTTACGGCATTAAAGGCTTATATTAGCAAAGAAGAAAGATCTAAAATTAATGATCTCTGGGACTTCCCTGGTGGTCCAGTGGTTAAGGCACCAACGCTCCCAATGCAGGGGGCCCAGGTTCGATCCCTGGTCAGGGAACTAGACCCCACCTGCCACAACTAAGAGTCTGCATACCGCAACTAAAAGATCCTGCATGCCACAACTAAATATCTCGCATGTCGCACGAAGATCCCACACGCGGCTATGAAGATCCCGCGTGCCGCAACTAAGACCTGGCACAGCCAAATAAATACTTAAAAAATAATAATAATAAAATAAAATTAATGGTTTAAGCTTTCATCTTAAAAAACTAGAAAAAGTAGCTAAAAGCAAAGCAAGGTGAAGGAAGAAAATAATAAAGAGATGAAATCAGTGAAACTGAAAAACCACAGAGGAAATCAATTAAGTCAAAAGCTGTTTCTTTTAAAAAATCAACAAAATTGGTAAGCCTTAGTCAAACTGATCAGAAAAAAGAAGGAAAAAACCCCCCAAATTACTAACATCAAAAATGACAGAGAGGAGGGCTTCCCTGGTGGCGCAGTGGTCGAGAGTCCGCCTGCCGATGCAGGAGACGCAGGTTCGTGCCCCAGTCCGGGAAGATCCCACATGCCGCGGAGCAGCTGGGCCCGTGAGCCATGGCCGCTGAGCCTGCGCGTCCGGAGCCTGTGCTCCACAATGGGAGAGGCCGCAACAGTGAGAGGCCTGTGTACCCCCGCCCCCCCCAAAAAAAAAAGAAATAGATACCCTGAATAGTCCTATATTTTATATAATAAAGAAGTAGAATTTGTAATTAAAAACATTTCAAAAATGAAAATTCCAGATGGCTCTACTGGCATATTTTACCAAACATTTAAGGAATAAATAATACCAATTTAATATAAACTTCTCCAGAAGATAAAGGAGAAGGAAACACTTGCCAACTCATTTTATGAGATCAGCATTACCTTGATACCCAAACCAAAGTCATGAAAATTAAACTATTAGTATCTCTCAGAAACAATGTAAAAATCCTTAATAAAATATTATTAATAAACTCCAGCAGTGTATCAAAATGATAGAACACCATAACCAAACTGGTTTTATCCCAGGAATGTAAGGTTGGTTCAACATTTTAAAATCAATCACAGTAATTCACTATATCAACAGACTAAACAAGAAAAGTCATTATTTCAATAGATGCAGAAAAGTATTTGACAAAATTCTCCATCCATTCATTATTAAAAACAAAACAAAACAAAAAAACACCTTTCAGCAAATTGCAATTAAAAAGAACTTTCTCTGGACTTCCCTGGTGGTCCAGTGGTAAAGAACCTGCCTTCCAATGCAGGGGACACGGGTTCGATCCTTGGTTGGGGAAGTAAGATCCCACATGATGCGGGGCAGCTAAGCCCACGCGCCACAACTACTGAGCTCTCACGTCTCAACGAGAGAGCCCGTGTGCCACAAACTACAGAGCCCACATGCTCAGGAGCCTGCACACCGCAACTACAGAGCCCACGCGCCCTGGAGCCTGCGTTCCACAACTAGAGAGAGAAAACCTGCACGCCACAAGTAGAGAGAAGGCTGTGTGTGCCACAAGTAGAGAGAAGGCTGTGTGTGCCACAAGTAGAGAGAAGGCTGTGTGTGCCACAAGTAGAGAGAAGGCTGTGTGTGCCACAACGAAGAGCCCGCGCCACAACAAAGGATCCTGCACGCCTCAGGGAAGACCCCGCATGCCACAACTAAGACCCGACGCAGTCAAAAAATAAATAAATATTAAAAATAGAACGTTCTCAATCTAATAAACAGCTTCTGTGTTAGTTCTATATTGCTGTGTAACAGCCCCAAAGCATAAATGTCAAACAATGATTATCTCACAGTCTCTGGAAGCTGGGAATCTAGGTATGACTTAGCTAGGTGCCTCCGAATCAAGGTCTCTTACAAAAGTGAACTTATGTTGTCAGCTGGGGCTACGATCTCATCTGGAGACTCACTGGAGCAGGAGCAGGGGTGGTGGTAGGGAGGTCCACTTCCAAGCTCACTCACAAGATTGTTGGCAGCATTCAGTTCCTCACAGAATACTGCACTGAGTGACTATGTTCTTCTTGGCTGTTGGTCGCCTCAATTCCTTGCCATAGGGCAGCTTACAACATGGCATCTGGATTCCCTCAGAGGCAGTGAGCAAGAGAGTACAAGAGAGTACTCAAGGCAGAAATCACAGTCTCTTTGTAACCTAATCTCAAAAGTGATATTCCATTACTTTAAACATATTTTATTCCTTAGAAGCAAGTCAGTAGGTCAAGCCTACACTGAATATACAAGGGGAGTATACAAGGGCATGAATACCATGAGGCAGGGATCATTAAGGGCCATCTTAGAGACTGCCTACCACAACCTCTACAAAGAAATCTAGTTAGTGCAGGATACCTAGTGGTGCAAGATTGAATGTTTTCCTCCTAAGATCAGTAATAAGGATGTCTGCTCTCACCACTCCTATTTGATATTACACTGGAGGACAGACATACCAAGTGCAATAAGGCAAGAAAAAGAAAGAAAAGGCATACCAGTTAGGAAAAACTAAAACTGTCCCTATTTGTAGATGACTGTCTACATAGAAAACCTCAAGGAATTTACAAAAACCTTCTAGAACTTGTAAGTAAGAAAACGCAAATCAGCATATGAAAAACTGCTCAATGTTAGTCATTAGGGGAATGCAAATTAAAACCACAAGAGACCATTACCCACCTTTTAGAATGACTGAATCAAAAGAACTGCATACCAAGTGTTGGCAAAGAGGCAGAAATTGGAACATTGCTGGCAGGAATGTAAAATGGTACAGTCACTTTGGAAAACATTTTGGCAGTCACTTAGAGCAACACATACTTAACATATGACCCAGCAGTACTCCTAGGTATTGTTTTCCCAAGAGAAATGAAAACATGTGTTCACACAAAAGACCATTCATGAATATTTACAGTGGCTTGGTTTATAATCACCAAAACTGGAAACAACTCAAATGTTCTTCAACTGGGAGTGGATAAACAATATCCATACAATGGAATAGTACTCAGTAATAAAAAGGAATGAACTACTGATAAATGCAACAATATGGATGAATCTCAAATATATTAATACTAAGTGAAAGAAGATTAGCCTCAAAAGGCTACATAATGTATAATTCCATTTATATGACATACTGGAAGAGGCATAACTATAGAGACAGAAAACACATCAATGGTCGCCATTTGCAAACCATTTTTGGGAGGTTCACCTCCAGCCCATCCCTGGACTCCATCTATATGCCACTCCATTTTCAAGGCAGCCACCAATCTCTCTCCTCCCAGCTCCAGCTCCTTCCTGAACCCTATCCTGATTTACATTTAGTGGCATGCTGCTTGGCACAGGATTGGTCCCCGTTTAGTAGGCAGTATGCAAATTTTCTCTCCTCAGCTATTGCTTCCAGGCAACACCCATCTCAATGCTGGGCATATGGAATGGGATAGATGGTAAAGTACTGAGGCAATCTGCTCAGTGGCGAATTACCCTATTTCGTGATTTCCTCCAAGTCCGTTAATTTTCCACCATGGTGCTCCGTTCGACCTGAGCGAGTAGGAGCCAGTCGGGAGAAGGATGTAAATAAGGAACGTAAGATAGGGCAGGCTCTGTAAGCCTCCATCTCCCACATTATAAGCCCAGCTCTAGTGGAAATCAATGGTCAAGCACCGCCCCACCCCACCCCAACTCCCAAGCTAGTGGAGGTACGTGCAGACTCTAACCAATTTCAGTCATCGTACTGTCATCATACTTCCTCTTTTCCTCTCCCCCTTTCTCTCATTCATTCATTACTGGCTGCTACAGCACTGACCAGGAGAGACACAGAAGCTGCCCTCAAAGCATTCACAGTCTCGCGGAGAATACAGGGGAGTAATCACAGTTATCACACGGTGTGGTACAGGCTGCGTGGGGTGAGGGGCTCCTAGCGCAGGCGTCTTCCCGGCAGACTCTGCCAGAGCTGCATCTTCCACGACCTGCTGGAGTTTGCAATCTTGCAGGCCTCCTCTCCCCGGCAGAGGGACGTGCAGGGACCCGGGCCCACGTCCAGAACAGCTTCTCCCGGGCTCCGAGGCAGCCCCCCAGGGCCTTTCGCCGCAGCAAGGACGGCGACCGGGTCCGGGAGGGAGGCCGGGGCGCTGCGGCCCCGCCCTGGCCAGGCCAGAGCGGGGGGCGGTTCCCATAGGGATCGCGGGCCGGCCGGCCGCGACCGAGCTGGGCGGGAGTCGGCGAGGCAGGAGCTAGCCGGCCCGACAGCTCCGGCGCCGTGAGTCCTGGGCGGGGAGGGAGGCGCGGGCCGGGCCGCCACGTGGCCCCGCTCGAGGCTGCGCGGCGGGGGCTGGGGCGCGGGTGGGAAGCCGGCGCGGCGCTGGCGGGTTTCCCCGCGGCCGCGCAGCAGCGGCGGGGCGGGAGAGGTGGCCCCGCCCAGCGGCGGGACGGCGCGTCCCTGCTTCCCACAGAGCTCCGGGCCCGCCTCAGGAGGCGCGGGGCGCGGGGCACGCGCCTCGCAGGGCTCTCCCCTCCGGCGGGGCCTCGCCGCCGCCGCCCGCGAAGGGAAATGAAACCCGATATTAGAACCGGGGAAGCCCTTACCCTTCCCAGTCCTCCAGCCAGCTCATGTGTCTTAGATCGGATGAATTTACCATTAAAAAGATAGATTGTCTTACAACTCAGTTCGTTTTAGGATGACGGGTTACATTTTAACTTGCAGGGTATATAACAGACGATTAAACTTGAGTTATCAAAGGCAGCTGACTCCAGGCTGTCACCTTTGATCAAGTGGCCACGGCTGAGGGGCGAGGCTTTAAGGGAATGGGTCGGTTCCTAATTCTGTAACGAGTGCCGTCTTCTGTTCTAGGTCCTTGACAAAGACCCATCGTTGAGTGAAGCTCTAGTGCAGTGTGTTCATGCCAAGATTTTATAAGCGACATTTTCAAACTATGTGAAGATCCGTTTAAAGAAGATTTATTCTTCTGTGATGGAGAAGTATGAAAAAATTGGGAAAATTGGCGAAGGATCCTATGGAGTTGTTTTCAAATGCAGAAACAGGGACACGGGTCAGATTGTGGCCATCAAGAGGTTTCTGGAATCAGAAGATGACCCTGTCATTAAGAAAATCGCCCTTCGAGAAATCCACATGCTCAAGGTAATGGATTTTTTTTCAATTAATTTATTTAGGCTGTGTTGGGTCTCCATTGCTGAGTGCACGCTTTCTCTAGTTGCGGCGGGGGCTACTCTTTTTTTTTTTTTTAACATCTTTACTGGAGTATAATTGCTTTACAATTTTGTATTTGAAGTGGATCAGCTATATGCATACATATATCCCCATATCCCCTCCCTCTTGTGTATCCCTCCCACCCTCCCTATCCCACCCCTCTAGGGGCTACTCTTCGTTGAGGTGCACGGGCTTCTCCTTGCAGTGGCTTCTCTTGTTGTGGGGTACCGGCTCTAGGCACTCAGGCTTCAGTAGTTGTGGCTCGCGGGCTCTAGAGCGCAGGCTCAGTAGCTGTGGCGCTCGGGCTTAGTTGCTCTGCTGCATGTGGGATCTTCCCAGACCAGGGATCGAACCTCTGTCCCCTGCATTGGCAGGCAGATTCTTAACCACTGAGCCACCAGGGAAGTCCTGGTAATGGATTCTTTAAAGTGAAGTTTCAGGGACTAACAAAATTAAAGTGAGTCGTGTTATGTGAAATAAATGCCTTGAGATGTGGCCACGTCTCCTTCCTTCACGGACTTCTGTCCTCAGTGACACAAATGGGACATCTGTGCGCGAGTCACCAATTATATAATTAATTATAGAGTGGAGACGTTAAGTGCAGGGAACGATGGTATTCACTTTCAGACTTGCTGTGGAATATTTTATTTTTCTTCCCAGTGGCTTCTTTCCCATGTCACCTGTAGATCTGGTTCATGAAAAGCCATCAACTTTTATAGTACAGGAACTTTCCATGATTTTTAAACTTCTAGACTAGCTTCTGTTGATGTTCTGAGTCCATGAAGAGAATTAATCATTCACCTGTTTTCAAACAGCTAGAAAGCTGACAGGTTTTCATTATGCCTCACATTTATCTACGGCTGACCTTTATAACGTCTTGTCTCTAGAAGAAGGATTTTTCTCAAAAAAGTGAAATGATTGCTTTAAAAATGTTCATCAGTTAACTCTTGGAGACCATGACATGGGGGGGGGGGGGGGAGTTGTTATTATAAGCTGAAAGTATTTTTTTCCTGGAATGGAAATGAAGAAGGAAAGTATCTTTCCTTCTTTTCTGAATTTCTGTGAAGATGAAACCCAAATCCTACCCTACGTAGAATGCGTCCTGTAATGAATGCAGTGTGGGTTAACTTTCAACAGATTAACTTTCTCCGTAGGGGTTGGTTTTAAACAGTTAGGGCCTCTGTGTTCTGACAAGTACAACTAACCATCCAACAAGGAAAGAGCAACCTCGTGCGAGCTCAACGGAACATCCAGGGGATTTTCTCCCATCTTTGCTTCTCCATTTTCTCCAGGCCTCTCTAAAAGTCTTCTTCTCCCCATGAATTGCGTGTGTGGGGTTATCTCTGGATAAGGACCCCAAATGGGAAGTGGAGGGCTCTGGATAGATTAAAACGGGTGGGGACGACTTTCTTTATTTGGGTCTAGGACATTCTTTACCAACTGGATGTTGTCAATTCTGAGAAGACACTTCCAAAGCCCCTGTGAAGTACTCCCCTAGGAAAGAGCGAGACAAGCAGTGTTTGCCCATCCCACCGCCTGGTTGCCCTGCCCTCCCCACTCTCTACACAGGGAGAGAGAGGGTCTCACTGTTTCTCTGGCGCCCATGGATGTTTTTCACTTTCTCAGGCTTTCCCTAGCGGAGAAGGTGATAATTGTATTTCAAAGGGCCCATTTACTCCAAAGAAAAGCCAGTCTGTTTCTAGTGGAGAGATACTCTTTTTCTGATTCTGAAGGTCACCTGCAAGCGCCTCTCTGAAACCTCTCACTATTCTTTAGCAATACGGTGTTTACGAGTTTAGTCCCTGAATTACTTCAGTTCCCCCAGGATGGGGACCTTGCCTCTAGATCTCTGTATCAACCACTGGGCATGTAATACCAATAAATGTTATTGTTGGATTGAAAAAAAGATGTTAACAAAATAAACTCTTAGGAAGGGTAGATGTTGCCAATAAATTAGGAAGTCAGATGTGTTCTCATGAGTAACTGAATATTGATGTCCTCTGAAGGATACAGTTGAGTGCACGGGAGCCTGAGTACAGAGCACACAGCACTCCATTCTCCAAAATCAAGTGCGCAGCTGAGATGCCCCTGATCTGTATCAGGTGATGGGACTAGATTATCAGTAGAGCCTGTCCCGTCAAGCCCTAACTTTTCAGAATTCTGTGATATTTCTAACACATAATGGGTGCTTAAATATTTGCTGCATAAATGAATTGAGGGTTTGTTAAATGAAGTCATACTTTCTCCATTTACTTATTCAGTAAATATTTACGGAGCTTCATTGTACCTAAAACAATGTTTATGTGAATTTGTACATCCTGTCTTTCAGATGCTTAACCGGTGGAAGATGAATTTCCCCTCAGCTCTTACACCCAATAGACTGGGTTCCTAATGGGCAGGGCCTGTGTCATTCACCTTGTCTCCCCACGCCTGTCATGAACCCTCTAAATAAAGTGTTTGGAGGCTTGTTTGAACTAGACTTTGAAATGTTTAGAGAGACATGGAATAAGAGATAAGGCATTCAGGGCAGTCTCTCCTAGGGAAAAAAGAGGTGCATAAGTGGAAAACAGTATATTGAAGGAACACAGGTAATAACCCCAAAGTCTTAGCCAAGATGCCTGCTGGGCTAATAGGCCTGGGAGAAAAGAGAAGGAAAGGAAGCCAGCCTGCATTAGGAGGGGGTGTGAGGAATTTCTTGGAAAACAGGTCTGGCCCTGGGATAAGTGATGATTAGCACATAGCTTCACCTTGGTCCCAGGTGGCCTTTGGGGTTTGGAGCCTGCCTTGGGGACATGTTGTTGTCCCTGAGAACAGGAAACTGCTGAGGTCTAGGCTAGTGTTTTAGGGCCCCATCTGAGCTGCATTCAAGGCAGAGCTCTAGGGCCCATGGAAGGGGAATACTAAACCGGAACCAAGCACAGTTCCATGGGCCCAGGTTCACGGGCTTAGGGGCTCAGTGAGTGTGAGTTCCTAGGAATTTCCTTGCACACCCCTCACAGAACTGGGGCTGTTAATGACCCCTGCTGAGGTCAAGAACTAGGAAGACTGAGGCTGAAGGTACCTCAGTGACCTTAGCAGATGAGAACAAGCAAGGGCTGAGGCCCAGACTGCTCTTATTATGATAAGGAAAGCAAGAAAGGTAGATGAAGACCAGATGTAGAAGGCTTTGAATGCCAGGCTGAGGAGTCTGGCTTTCACGTGAAAAGAGGGAAGCCAGCCAAGATTTTTTATTAGAAAGTTATCATTTGCAGACTTCTGAATTTCATGGATCAATAAAATTTCCAAAAAAAATTTTTTTGTTTACAGATTGGTCGGCATTTTAAGAGGCTGGGTTATCACCATCACTTCATAAATGAAAGGACGTTTTAATATTTTAGAAAAACTAGGAAAGACCCAATTTTAGGAAAAAAGCAGTCTTCCTGAGAGAGTAGTTGACAACTAAAACAACATCTCTCTATATATACATTTCTCAGGTGTGTGAGAGTGTATGAGTGTAGGGGTGTGTGTGTGTGTGTGTGTGTGTGTGTGAGAGAGAGAGAGAGAGAGAGAGAGAGAGATCATTGCCCTTATTTTTCTCATTTCACTATCCATTGATGAAAATGAAGACATCAGCTGTTTTGTGCAGCCTAAATTTCATGAAAGTTAGTACTATGTCTGCGAACAAAGAGACTCCCCAGACCAGATGATGTCCTACTTATAGGATCTATCTGATACAACGAAATACTAATACCACAAAAGAACTGAATGGTCCCTTGGATTTTTTTTTTTTTTTTTTTTTTTTTTTGCTGCATTGGGTCTTTGTTGCTGCACACGGGCTTTCTCTAGTTACAGCAAGCAGGGGCTACTCTTCGTCATGGTGCACGGGCTTCTCATTGCGGTGGCTTCTCTTGTTGCAGAGTGCGGGCTCTAGGCGAGCAGACTTCAGTAGTTGCAGCATGAGGGCTCCGTAGTTGCAGAACGCAGGCCCTAGAGTGCATGGGCTTCAGTAGCTGTGGCACGTGGGCTCAGTAGTTGTGGCACATGGGCTTAGTTGCTCCGCGGCACGTGGGATCTTCCTGGACCGGGGATGGAACCTGTGTCCCCTGCATTGACAGGTGGATTCTTAACCACTGTGCCACCAGGGAAGTCTATTAAGTTATAATAGAATTTGGCATGTATCTGTCCTCAGAGAATTGCTTGTATGTTTTTTAAACCATTTATTTAATGATTTAAAGCAACTCCCAATAGTTGCTGTCAGACTCTTTTAAAAATTACAGTTGTTTCCATTAAGCAGATAAGATCATGGGAGTGAACTGTCCAGCAGTCAATTGCATAATTATTAAGGCACCACATCTACAGTGTTTCTCGTTCTTGATGTGAAAGCATATATGAAGATGTAACTATACATTGGTAAATGATTTTAAAGATAATAATTATTATCAAGAAACCTATTTTGCTAATACTTTTAGAAAACATTTTTTCTGAAAAATTGAAACACTTTTCAAATAACATTACTTCATGCCATTTGGGGGAAAAAGTGTGACACATTTTTATGAGATAAATTCAGTATTTGTGCTAATAGACTGCTCCCTAAACTAAATGTAATTCGCTCTTCACCAAGAGGTCCTACTATAGTCAACCCTTTAATGTTTTCATTTGAATCTTATTTATTCCAGGCTTTTA